TAGACTGAAGGCCATATGTACTAAGCTCTTCCATTGTCTGCTGATATCCCTAATCTAGGCCCCAGGGAAGCAGCAACCTGCACTGAAAAGATGGTCCGATCTGCAAATGTGTGCTTCCATTTTGCAGAGGAGTCAGCAATGACCGTTACTTGTCATTGTTTCTTCTCAGCACTGGTCTTAATGCAGGTCTTGTTGCAGTGTGTTGGTCAGTCTGACCTTGGCCAGAGTGTTTGCATAGGCTTCTTCTCTTCTGTCTAATTTCACACTTTATCTGTAATACTCAGGGCCTCATACCTCTTCTGTAAAGCTAGTTGAGAGGATAAGGAGGAGTTTCTCTTTCAGCTTAGCACAGTAACCTTCTTCCACCACTCCTTATTCCTGTTTTGTGCCTTCCTCCTGGCACAAAAGAGATCCTGGACTCACCACTATAGTGGCCATGCTGAGTTGGCTTGTGTTCATCAAAGATGGCAGAGGACAACTCCAACTGGGATAAAATTGGGTAGAAGGAACTTTAATGTTTTCTCCAGTGAACTGTGTCTTGTTCCTCTGTCTTATTTTTGTTGTGTATCTTGTCTCTGGAGATAAGAAATTAGGAAATAGGAGGGAAGAAAGTGTGACTTTCTGATTGTAAGATTCTCAATACCATGTGGCAGGTTTGCATAAAATATGTTTTATGTCTCAGCAGTTCCTACTTGCAAGGTTTAACAGGTCCTATTTACAGGGTCATACTTTGTCCTGTCTAGAGTTCTGTGTAACACATGGCATCAGCATGTTCAAGTCTTGTCATAGATACTGCAGGGAGAAGGGAGGGGAAGAAGAAGACAGCTTGTCCTGTATTTTTGATGTAGTTGAACACTGAATCCATATTTCTCTTACTACTTCTTCTTCTTCCTTTTCTGTATATGTATCCATTATAGTGGGATGAGGTAAGTGTCCTGGATGACAAGAAGCGCCTGATCCGAACCTTTCAAGTCTGTAATGTGGCTGAACCAGGTCAGAATAACTGGTTGCGTACCCACTTCATAGAGCGACGCGGAGCGCATCGAGTCCATGTCCGCCTCCGTTTCTCAGTGAGAGACTGTGCCAGCATGCGTACTGTGGCCTCTTCTTGCAAGGAGACTTTCACACTCTACTACCACCAGTCAGAGGCAGACACAGCCTCTCAGGAACTGCCAGAGTGGCGCGAGGGGCCCTGGACTAAAGTGGATACTATTGCAGCTGATGAAAGCTTTTCCCAGGTGGACAGCACTGGTAAAGTGGTAAAGATGAATGTTAAAGTACGGAGCTTTGGGCCACTCACCAAGCATGGCTTCTACTTGGCCTTTCAGGACTCAGGAGCCTGCATGTCCCTGGTGGCAGTCCAGGTTTTTTTCTACAAGTGCCCGGCTGTGGTGAAAGGATTTGCGTCCTTCCCTGAAACTTTTGCTGGAGGGGAGAGGACCTCACTCGTGGAGTCACCAGGGATGTGTGTACCAAATGCTGAAGAGACAAGCATGACTGGGTTTTCAGGTGTTCGGTTGCATTGCAATGGAGAAGGGGAGTGGATGGTGGCCATTGGACGATGTGCCTGCAAGGCTGGCTACCAGCCTGGTGATGATGAACGAATCTGCCAAGGTGAGAGACCCTTTTTCCCCAGCCCTTAGTCAGACACTTCATTGTTGGTTCTCTGCATCAGTAGTCTATTTGCCATTTGCCAGAAGTTCACAGAACTAGGAGATTAAATCATTTCTCACAGAGAACGCTCACAAGCAGTCTCTTCTGACACTTCTAGCACCTCAGACTAGAGTTGGAGCGACCACTTCTTGGTGCTATTGGAAACTCCACTCAGACCTAGCTCAAGCTGCCACCAGAGACAGCCTCTTAGGCTATATATAAAGAATTAAGAAGAGTTGTAAACAGCCAGATCTAACATAGTTCCACTTCTTTACCAAGAGGCAACGGTATTAGAGGAAAGATGCCACATGGAGCAGAGCTGAGCATAGAAGTAATACATGCTAAAGTCTTAATTAGTTTGGTCCCTTTTGCTAGTGTTGTTGGAACTAGTGATAAAAAGAAGAAACAAGGAGATGGCAGCAGCCTGGTCATGGGACAAGGAACAGGCAGCAGGGACCTATGAGCTTGGCTTGGTAAGAAAAACAGTTGATAATGGTATTATCATTACCTGTGATGTGCTTTCTGCCCCGGGGCCCATGGTATTTTCTGTGAAATGCTTGTAGGAGGAAGTAGAGTAAATTACATATCACCCCGTGATGATATTGGTCCAAAAGCCTCAACACACAGTCTAATGTCATGACTTTCTTCCTATCCCAAGCTTAAGATGGTCCATTAGACCAAACTGCTTATGTTAGTTATATAATTTCATGTGTAATGTTCTCATGGTGCTTCCTTGGTTTTAATATGCATCTACTCAAGATCTCTCAGCCACACTTAGTACTCTAAAAAATAAATACAGTATGGAACCCAGTTTTGGCTGCAGACACAATTTTATAGTTTGATTTTAATTTATTCAAATAAGACTTCAACTTGGGCATTGAGAGTACACGTATTCTGGTTAACAACAAGTGCAAATGCGATGGATATTTAGTGGTTGTCAGTATGTTACCTTAAATTCTTGTTTCATGGATTGGGGTCGTGCAAAATGACTGTATTAAAATATGGTTTACTGTGCTGGAGACTTAGCACTTAACATTGGTAAGTGCTTTTTATTCACTTAAGCTTTGTGAATGTTTAAAATGCATGTGCCCTTTTATCCTACTCATCCTGAAAGAAATATAACTGTATTCATGTAGTGCTGTTCCTGAAACAGCTCAGACAGACATAGAGCAGCTCTATATGGCACTAACGTTGTTGTCTGCATCAGTGGCATAACTAGTAATTCAGGTAAATTGCGAGTCAATAATTTAGCATCACATGGTAGATTTCATCACTCAAAAATATGGATTTTAGGCTTGGCAAATATGAACAGGTATTTTTTAGAAATCCATCTTCCCTTTTCTGTAGTGTTCAATGAAAGCTGATACTCCCTTGTAGCCCAATTATTGTAGAAGCTGAAGGTCGATGAAATGGTAAATAGTTTAAGGAATAACTGAAGTAGTGACAGTGTGTCAAACAACAAAACACTGTTCCCATCATTTACTTCCTGAGATTCCATGAATAGCTTAGAACAGCTAAAGACAACCAAATAATGAATCATAGTGTTAGTAGGTACTTTTTTCCTCACATTTCTTATAAACTCCTCTGGCTTGGTCATCATTTCTAATCTCTTCTGCTAACACTATGTTGCTGTCCTGTCTTAATGGAGCCATGTTCGGCTATTGTAATTTGTTCCCTTGCTTGCTGTTTCTTTGCATGAAGTCCTTCCAGGGCTTCTTTGTATATTCTCCCTATGAACGGAGGCATACTGTGATACAGAGTTGCTACAGCATTCCATATGAAATACAAACCAAAAGCAATAGCCCAATGACAGATTTCTACTGATAATCCTGCAGAGAGCTCCTAATAAGACTGAGTAATGAACCAAGAATGGGAAGGAGAAGCGAGTTTCCTTCTTATACTTTAGTAGAAGAGTGGGTGGGCATGCCTTCCCCCTCACCATATGGAAGCCTGTGAAGTCCTTCCTGGACCAGCTGTTCTTTTGAAAATAGAACTTAAAGTTCATGACTGAGACATTCTTAAAAATATTTCAGAAATTACAATGTGAAAAAATGACTAGTTGATAAAGTGTTCCCAAATGAAGAAATAAGGTAAGATCTTAGCTTGAAAAATCACTGAAATAGAACTATTAATTTAATAATACAGAGTTTATCTCTTTTCTGTCAAATTCAATGCGAATTATTCCATGTCTTTCTTTTCTACTCAGTCCTGTAGCAGTAGCCAATATGAAGTTTTTCCCACATCACTGAAAATGCATCATTACTGTATCAGTATATCCCTCCATCTGCAGTTACCTTCCAGCAACGCACCTGTTGTTTCTGTAGCCCAGAGGACATCTAGTCCAATCCCCCTGCACTGACCAGGGACATCTTTACGTAGATCAGGTTGCTCAGTGCCCCATCAAGCCCGATCCTGAATACCTCCAGGGATGGGGCCTCCACCACCTCTCTGGGCAACCTGTTGCAGTATTTCACTACCCTCATACTAAAGAACTTCTTTCTGATACCCAGTCTAAATCTGCCCTGCTGTAGTTTAAAACCATTGTCCCTCACGCTGTCGCTATACACCCTTGTAAAGAGTCCCTCACCAGCTTTCCTGTAGGCCCCCTTCACGTACTGGAAGGACACTAAGGTCTCTCTGGAGCCTTCTCTTCTCCAGGCTGAATAGCCCCAACTCTCTCAGACTGTCTTCATAGGAGAGGTACTCAAGCCCTCTGATCATTTTTGTGGTCCTCCTCTGGACCTGCTCCAACAAGTCCACATCCTTCTTGTGTTGACAGCTGGACACAGTACTCCAGATGAGGTCTCACCAGAGCAGAATAGAGGGGCAGAATCATTTCTTTTGATCTGCTGGCCACCCTTCTTTTGATGCAGCCCAAGATGCAATTTGCCTTCTGGACTGCAAGCGTGCACTGTTTGCTCATGTCCAGCCTTTCATCCAGCAGTACCCCCAAGCCCTTTTCCGTGGGGCCGCTCTCTAGCACACCATTCCCCAGCCTGTACGGATATGAGGATTGCCCCAACCCAAGTGCAGGACCTTGCACTTGGCCTTGTTGAACCTCATGAGGTTTACATGGGCCCACTTCTCCAGCTTGCTCAGGACCCTTTGAAGGACATTCGATCCCTCTGGTATGTTGACCACACTACTCAGCTTGGTGTCACCTGCAAACTTGCTTAGGGTGCACTCAGTCCCACTGGCTTTGTTGTCAATGAAGATAACGGGTCAGTTAAGCCCACCACCCGTATCACAACCACATCCATAAGGAAAACAAGAAAGGTTATGGTAGTAGGTGACTCCCTTCTGAGGAGAACTGAGGGTCCAGTATGCTGGGTAGACTGTCAACATAGGGAAGTGTGCTATCTCTCTGGAGCACAGGTTAAAGACATCACTGGTAAACTTCCTAGTCTAATAAGGTCCTGAGACTATTACTGTGTAGGTGGAGATGAAACCACAATCTGTAGTCCAAGACCCATTAAAAGGGACTTCAGGGCACTGGGACGGTCAGTGAGGGAATCTGGGGCACAGGTTATACTTTCATCTTTTCTTCCAGTTGTGGGCAGCGACACTGGGAGATTAAGGCGAATCCAGTCTATTAATATGTGGCTCTGTGGCTGGTGTCACCACCACAACTTTGGTTTCTTTGACAATGGGATGGCCTGTGCAGCACCAGGCTTGCTAGCCTCACATGGAGTCACCTTTCCCAAAGAGGGAAGAGGGTATTTGCCCAAGAGATTTCAGGGCTGATTTTCAGGGCTTTAAACTAGTTGCAAAGGGGGAGGGGGATGACAATATCAGGCTTGTCTGTGACAAGCTGCGGGATGACACCAGGATTAAAGGGACAAGGTGCTACTAAAGGCCTTCAACCAGTTACTCTATGGCGAGCTGGGGACAGCAGCACAGTTAAACTCTTACAGAGATGAACTGGGGGCTCCTGAGATAGTAGGAGCCAACAGGGAAACACCAACAGAACACCTCAACGGAATTAAGGGATGTTCCACCGAGAAGGTGACATGGCTGACAGCCCAGCTGAAGTGCCTCTACACGAACGTGCACAGCACGGGCAACAAACAGGAGGAGTTAGAAATCTGCACGTGGTCAAGAGGTTATGATCTGGTGGCAATTACAGAGACATGGTGGGACAGCTCACATGACTGGAATGTGGTCAAGGACGGCTCTGTCCTTTTTAGGAAAGACAGGCCAACAAGGTGAGGTGGTGGAGTTGCTCTTTATGTGAGGGAGCACTGGAATGTATTGAGTTCTGTCCAGGGTCGAGGGAAGGATAAGGTACAAGTTGAGAGCTTGTGGGTGAGAATGAAGGGGTAGGCTAGCATGGGTGATATTGTGGTGGGTGTCTATTACAGGCCACCTGATCAGGATGAGGAAGTTGATGAGGCCTTCTACAGGCAGCTGATAGAAGACTTGCAATCACAGGTCCTGGTTCTCATAGGGGATTTTAACCACACAGATGTTTTTTGGAAGGCCTACACAGCCAGGCATTTGAAGTCCGGGAGGTTCATGCAGTGCACTGATGATAATTTCTTGATGCAAATGGTGGATGAGCCAAATAGGAGAGGAACATTGCTGGATCTTATACTCACCAGCAAGGAGGGTCTAGCTGAAGCAGTGAAGATTGAGGGCAACCTTGGGTGCAGCAACCATGATATGGTGGAGTTCACGATCTTGTATAGTAGGAACAGAATACCAAGCAAGATTGCAACCCTGGACTTTTCAAAAGGTTGCTAGGGGAAATCCCATGGGACAGGGTATTAGAAGGTAAAGGGGCCCAAAATTGTTGGTTAATATTCAAGGACCACTTCTTCCAAGCCCACGGATCAGTGTATCGCAACAGATAGGAAATCGAGAAGGAGAGCCAGGAGACCTGCATGGTTAAACAGG